GATTCAACTGAGTGGAGAGCGAGATTAGACATCATCTCTCCTAGAATATAAACCAGAGAGTTAAAACCGTGATTCTATTGCTTTTTAAAAATGCTTCTAATTCACTGCTACTGACTATACAACTTATAGCAACACAAAGATCAGGAATAACTAATTTAATAATGTCACACACCTACAAACATATGCCAGCTGTCAAATGACACTAGAAATGTCTGGCATCTTTTTAAAATTCATCCCTGGAATTACTGCAATTGCTACCTGGCACCACACAGATGCAAACCAGAAGCATTTCTTGCGTATCTTACTCCTTTTTGTCTCTCTATCCACTAATCCCATGAAACAAATTCCTCACATAGGCCACTGAACTCTAAGGAGAATCCCTTCTTCGAATACCATGGTCAACAGCTTCCAAAGGGCTCCAGTCATGAAAAGTTTAGGAAGTGCAGTGTGGGGAGTGAAACAACTGCAGAACCTGATACTTTGGGAACTGAGAATTTAGAAGAATTTCACCACCTCTGACTGGACTTCAGTAATGAGCTGGCTGCCTTTGGGCTCCAGTTTTCCCTTCCCTCACAGAGTCCCCACTTTAGATTACCTCTGAATCTGTTCTTTCACACTTACCCTCTTGCCCTTTCACTCAGGCCCCATCGCTTTTCCTTCCCTCTAGAATATTTTTTCCAAATTAATCCCATATCCCCAAAGTAATGACACACCGAAACACTCTCATCTGTATTCTTCTTGCGTGCACAGCTGCTTCTCCCCGATCCCATCCTAAATTCTCAGAGTGTGACCTCCTGCCACTCTGTCCCTGCCTCCTCCCCGGGGCTACAGACCCTCTGCCACCAGCAGCAGCCGTGGGATCAGCTGCAGCAGTGGCAGAACGTATCACCACTGACAGCGGCAGCTCCTGGCTGCCAGCCACTCTGCATAGCACTGTGACAAGATGCCAGCTAGTTAAGCATTAAACTATTTAAGTTAGTTATTCTACTAGCCTAATTTTCCTTACTCTTAGCTGTTCTAGTTACTGTTAGTTCACAGGGAAATGCTGTTCTGTTGATGTTCTCTCCCTCATTTTTGTTTAAAATAAAAGCCTACCTTCCTCCAGAGGGGTATGGCACTTTTTGCATTGTTGAGACACGAGCAGCTTCCAAAGCCTTGGAGAAAGACTCTCTTAGCAACCCAGCTAACGCAGCGTCCTGGAGAGAATAAATAAACCCACAATTTAAAAATTCACAAGTAAAAATCCCTCTCGTTCCTCTGCTGTTCTTTCACTAGTCAGTACACTGTCTCATCCAGCCCACTCCTCCAGGGCTCGAGCAGAAGGAACCTTGGCATAACCTTGCTCCTACCATAAACAATGTCTCATGATTAGTGAAGGATTTAAGTTCTAAATTAAAGCTTTAGAATAAATGAGTCATATTCTGCAACAGAAAGGTCAGTGGACACACAGAAACTAAACCAGCCCAGGGAAATTATGTGATGGCTCCATGGATATTAAACTGGCTTCTGACAAATTTATCTTTGTTTTAACAAAGAAGATTAATATTAAACTTTTAGTAAACATTAGTATTCTAAAAATAATGTAAAGAGAGGGAACCTTTTCTATCTTTGATTGAAGCACACTGTTGAATGGTATTTGTATTAGTAAAGTGTCAAGTAGATAACGTATCTGAAGGATAAACAAGCCCCAAAAAAAGGAAGTTTCAGATGACCAACACATAACTCACTGAGAAATGTGGCTAACATAACTTGCTAAAAAAAACCCCATTTATGAACAGTTGGCATTTGCATAGACATATTTTTACGGGTTGGGTAAAGTTTGTTGTAGCTGGTAAGTGTAACTGTCACCATTCATTTCAGACAGTTTTTTGTACAAGGTCTTTTTTGTTCTTAGGGAAGCAGACAGCTGAAATGCCAGAGATCTCCAAATACAGGAAGGCACATGCCACCACCTAAAGGAACAGCAAGTCTGAGGCCATTCAGGAACATGAGAATTTCAGTTATGTGGGTGAATATGATTTCACTGGATGTTTGGTGCATGAGTATGAATATGGGCGATAAAAAAGCCCATGTCAAGTAGCTTTAAAACAAACTCAGGAAAAGTCAGACACATCTACAGGAGAACTGAAGGACCATGATGAAAAGATTTTAAAAATGAGCTTTTACACCGAGGGCTACATGAATGAGATTTGCAACTGCAGACTTAAAAATAACAAAAAAAATACCCAAAGAAGCCAACAAAAAAAAACCCAAACCGTGTCTTCTGTCCTCCATTCCTCAGGCTTTCAGCAAAAACAGAGTTTTGACATTCTTTATAGAGATAGCAGGACTTTGTTGTTCTGGAATTCACTGATCCCAAACAACTCAGCCAAATACTAATACCTGCTGCTGCTACTGCCACAATTATTTTTCGTTTGCTATCTATACTAGACATGTATTGTTTCTTTTGATACATCTTAGGCCAAATACTCATTTTTTCCAATGCAAAAACCCAACCTGTATTTCTGAAGCACATTCATATTAATAAATCCAACAGGCAGAGTACAATTTTCACTTGCCTCGAGGATGGCACATTCCAAAAATATTTGGATTAGCATGACTCCGATGTAAAGAGGGCTGGATCAGAGGTAGCTGACACCAGTGTTCCCTCCCAACTTCTATACACGTTCTGATCCTCCCAGTTTTTGCCTAGCACGTAAGGTGAAATGTGGTAAAATAAACACCAAAGGAACACAGTTTGCTTTCTTAACCAAGGTACCTTCCTACCTCATGAACAGAAGAGAAACAATGAAGGGCATGAAAAATTTGAGCAGAGAGTTAATCTTAGGTCAAATTGTCAGTTGGTGTAAATGAGCACTACTCCACTTCAGCGCACAATGACAATTTACACCAGCTGAGAGGCTGACGTGGGGACTCTCCGCTGCAAATGCTGTGCTGAGCAGGCAGCTGCAGGAGATCCAACTTCCCTGAGAGTCCTGTCTTGTTCATATTCAAGAATTTGAACTCCACATTTCTCTGGAGCAATCAATTTGCTCAGCTTCCTTGGAAATGATGATGAAAGTACAATTTGCAGGCGATGTCTCCAGGAACAATCAAATAGTGTACTAATGTTGACCATAAATCATAATTACAGTGGAAACACTGGCTGAGGTCTGTTCTTTAAACACACAGAATTTAGGCAGCATAATAGACTGGAAAAGACCATTCCCTATAATCCCATTCATAAATTTACCAGGTTCTATCTTAAACCCAATTTCTTTTCTTGCCTTCGATATCCTCACTGCAAGCCTTCCAGAATCTTACACCTCTGACAGTTTATAATCTTCTAATTTGCAGACTGTGCTTATTCATGATCAGCTCATTTTATCAAAGCACTGGGCCCTGACCTCATGGCTGATGTGCATAAAATAGCTTCGGAGGAAAAAGTAACATCTTTTATTAGATCAACAGACATAGCTGGGGTGAGACAAACAAGAGTTTAGGCCACAAAACCCTCCTTCAGGCCTGAAATAGAAGCAGAAAAATACAAGTTAAATACAGCTTGGCGGCCGTTGTTCTGAATAAAACTTAATGATGTCAAACAATTACCCAGTTTGAGGAAAAGCTATCCACAAAATACTGGGGATATTAATAAGGTGTGAGATGGTTAAGCCATAGGATAGCACATGGGCCAAAAGAGATGCCATTAACTGCCAGAACTAAAATGTTCTCTGGACATCCTATTACTTAGGGAACATCCTGCCTAGATAGCTCCAGAACAACCGGATACAGGAAATTGTCACAAAACGTGTCCCTCCACCTCTAGGCAGCCCTGAGCCCAGAGGTTTAGCAACTGCCTGTGATGCCAGAGCTGTACCCACCCTGCCCTCGGGGGGGGGGG